GGGGGGGGGGGCTGCAGGGCCGCCGCAGGCCGCCCTGGGCCGGGCAGCCGGGCCCACCTGCATGCTCACGCACAACACACACACACACACACACACACACATATACACACACACGCCCGGAAGAAGAAGGAGCCGGGGCCGGGGGAGGGGGGGGCATGCGGGCCGAAGGGCCAAAGGTGCCCCCACCCCCCGGCGGCGGGGGCAGAAGGCGGCCCGCTTGGCCAGGGCGTCTGCCTGCCCGGGCCCGCAGGCGGGGCCCCCGTTTGGAAGCTGGCGAATGGCGGGCGCTTCCAGGAACGCCCGGGTTGGGCACCCGCCGTGCGCCTACCCTTTTTCCCCCTGGTCCGTGGCTGCGCCGCGCTGCGCTGTGTGCCTGTGTGTGTGCCTCTCGGCGGCGCGCCCGGGCCTTGTGCACCTGGGGGGGGGGGCGGCGCCGGTCGCCGGTGGTCACCTGGCACCTCTGCGATGCCAGAATCCGAGCCGGCGCCCCCCTGCCGGCGGTCTATTTGGACGGCGCTGTTCGCGGGGATAATGTTTGGGTTACGCGTCCCTCGGCGGGTTGGGGGCAGAGCGGGCCGGGGTCTGATACATTAGCATCAGCAGACTGTATGTGGGCACATGCGTCCGCCGGGGGGGGGGGGGCGTGGCGGCGGCGCCAGGAGGGCGCCCGGCACCGGTGCGAGCGCAGAGGATGATGACTGGCGTCGGAGGGGGGGGGGGCCGGGCTTGCGGCGTTGATATGGCGCGGCGCGCGGGGGCCCGGACCACGGCGCGGTCCGGGTCGGCTGGGGGCGCGCCGCCGTGTGGGCCCCCCGGCGGGCGGCTCCGCCGGGGCCGGCCATGTGGGGGGCCGGCCGCACATATGTTCCCCTCCCCCCGCCGGCGCCCCCGGTTGTGGCCGTGTGGCGGCGCGTTTCGCGGGCCAGGGCTTTCCCAGGCCGACATGCGCCGGCGCCGACCGGGGGCAAGGGGACCCGGAGCCGGGGGTTCGGCCCCCGGGCATTCGCGCACCGAGGGTCAGGTGCGGGCCGCGGCGCATTTGGTGGGCCCCGCTCGCGGCGGGCCGGCCCGGCCCGGGCCGCGCGTGAGGCTGATGCTACCGGCCCTTCGGCGAGGGGGGGCAGGGTGCCGGGCGCGGTGCGCCATGAAACATGCGCGGCGGCGCGCACGCGGCCGCACACGGGGAGGCGCCCCGGCACGCCGGCCCGTGCGCCCGCACGCGCAGGAGCGCACACACACACACACATACACGCATGTGGGCGCCACAGCGCACCCCGGGCCTTGTCCGCGGGTGGGCCGTCCCCTGGCCCCGGGGCGGGTGGCCCAGGCCCCGGGGTGGCCGAACGTCAGTTGACGCGCGCGCGCCGCCGGGTGGGGGGGCGCCCCACCGCCGGGGCGGCAGGTGCTTTTCCTCCCGGCCGGGCCGGGCGCGCCCATGTGGTTGCCGCCCAAGCCGCGCGGCCTGTGCGCCGCCACGCGTCCCCCCCCCCCCCCCCCCGCGGGTGGGCCGTCCCCTGGCCCCGGGGCGGGTGGCCCAGGCCCCGGGGTGGCCGAACGTCAGTTGACGCGCGCGCGCCGCCGGGTGGGGGGGCGCCCCACCGCCGGGGCGGCAGGTGCTTTTCCTCCCGGCCGGGCCGGGCGCGCCCATGTGGTTGCCGCCCAAGCCGCGCGGCCTGTGCGCCGCCACGCGTCCCCCCCCCCCCCCGGCAGTGAGACCCCGGTGAAATAACGCTCGCGTTG